GGCGGCCGGAGCATATCCAGATGACTTAAAGTGCTTCAGTGGCTGAGGCGACAAAGAGGTGCAAGCATGAGCCATGAGCATATTGTATAAACGAAACCTGAAACCCGACCCCCCCCCCCCATGCACACATGAGCCATGAGCATATTGTTCACCGTGTGTTTATCACCCCCCAAACAAAATCCGAACCCCCCCCCCACAAGGAACGAGCAACTTGGTAGGGATGTTGCATGGCATGCCAACAAGCAAGGTAAGCCCCAAAACTGATGAAACGGGCCTCAGGCGCCGGAAGAATCCTCTTTCTGCGCAAGATCCAGCTAAATACCTCGTTACATATTCGTTACATCAGCCCGGGTCCAGCGCCCCGTTTTCTGCTGTCGCCCGGCTTGTGCTGAACAGTTTTGGACTGGAGCTGGGGCGGAGGTGCACTTTGAGCACTGCGCTGAATCGAATAACGAGTTTCGAGCTGGAGCTGCGGAAGTGTCGAGCACTGCTTTCCCGTCACACACCTACACAACTCGGACCAGCTCCACACACCTCCAGAACAAGATTCGTGCCGCGTCGCGCTCTGCATACCTCAACAATATTATTCTCATATGTGTCTCTATGTATATATACTATATACTCACATACGTGTGTGTGTGTGTGTGTCAACATTTAATTGTGTCACGATTACTTTCGGGTAGATGAGAGACATGGTGTCTCACACGTGGATGCAGAGCGCGGGTACCCGCTGTACGCCAGGCTTCCAAAAGGCCTGGTCCAGGCGGTTGCCATCTCAAAACAGTCCGAAATGCTCACTTGGCTTTATCCGCAGGAAGTCCTAACAATGTATTGTCGATGGACAGAACCGGGATGGATGACATCGTGTGAATCATTAGACAAGCAACCTATCGACTGGTGCAGAGATGCTCGCCGCAATTCGTTTCGGCACTTACTATTTTTGGCGCAAAATGATTGATGAAGCAGGGCATCGTGTGGTGAAGATGAGGGCGTGCGTGATTCACAGGACTTACAACATCGCCCAGAATGGTGTGATATTTTTCTATGATGGGTCGGGTGGGGCAAGCTATCCGCACGTTCTGCCACCCCCCCCCCCCCCAGTTCGGTTGTGTCTGGTGTGACGGTCAACACGGATGAAGACGCGGTGGCAGCACATGGCCCATGATCACTTGCGCGTCTTTCATATGAAGGCCTGTGCGGTACACATTGAGTCGGGTGACACAGAGGCCGAAGGGACAAGTGCTAAATGAGCCCCACGATGAAGTGCCACATGACTTGCCGGCTTCTGCTTTTGGCTTGCTTGCAACTTGCAGATGCTTTTCGGCGGTGGGTTTTCTGGCCTTTGCCACGCAAGTGGCGACAATCATTGCTACGCAAGTTGTGGTAGACATGCTTGTCAAACATGCGACGCCCGCAAGGGTCTCAGGTTGTAGGCGACCTCGCATCACGTAGGTGGGATTGCCTTTTGGATTCCTTGCAATGGGGCGCATGCAGCACAGGTCCGGCAGTGCCTTGGTAGTGTAAGGAGTTTTGGAGCGTGTTTTCTCGTGCTTTTGCGCAACATCCTGCCAGCGTCACGCGATATCGCACTGCACAGTACAGATGCCAAGGTCGAGCCACGAAAGGTAGGGGAGGACGTGAGGGGACCTACTTAAAATCCCCACATTGTTCCAAAAACGCGTGCCCAAAAGACCCCAAAAGCAAATCAACCGGTTGACCTGTTGTTTCTTGTTTCTACGTTCATCCATTTTCGGTTCTGGTCTCCCATTTTTCTAGGAGGTCGGGCGAGTGAGTGTTGAACATGACGAATCCAGACTCTTGCTGGGACAATCTGAGGGAATGATACCGTAGATTTTTTTCTTTTAAGGCCATTCCAAAAGCAAGCTGAAGGTTCATGGCTGCTCCGCAATAGAGGCCTTGGATGCTTCTCAACGGATATCTTTGGAGCAGCCAAAAGGAAATCAAAGATAGCCCGGTTGACTACTTTTTGAGCCCTTGCTATGGTGGCTGGGAATCCAACCTATCTGTAAATGGAAAAGAACCGCACCATCTTCCCTATTTGGAGGTTTGTCTTTGCTTCCTGTTGGTTTTGATTGAAACCAAACCAGCACGTTCTTTCTCATGGTTTCTTGTCAGTTGGTTCCCCGTTTGTTTTTTTCTGCTGCTGTGTCACCAGCAAAAAGTATCCACAGTGCTCGCTCTTGGCCAGGCAGCGGCTACTTCGACACCAATGGCGACGTTTGGTCCAAGGAGAAGCGACCCGAGACAGACAACCCAACCCAAGACCCAGACGGAAACTTGATCCTTGCCCTTTTCGTTGGACCTCAGAGGAATTCTGACATGTTCCACTAAGTTGCGCACCGAGGAATGTCCCGCATGTGGAGGCGAATTCGTGCATATTTGTTGGTGGCACCGAACACGCAGACGGAATAAGAAGAACACAGGTACGATACACCAAACATTTGTGGAATTGTCCAGTTTGGATGGGAGTTGAGGCATAAATCGTCGGGCAACGATCCCCCTCCCTGAGTCCCTGGACTTCATATTTCGGTTTGAGCCAATATAGTGGTACACAATGCTTAGATATGTTTGACCAATCCATTAAGCAAGTCTGGGGAGTTGCCAGGCAGCCCAAGCTCGGAATTCCACCACGCCTTTTTGGGGACTTTCGGGGAAAGGTGACTACCACCCAGTGATTCGAAGCCCACAACAGGAGCCATGGGAAGGTTATGGGCAATGGTTCTGAATGGTCCCTACTTACTGAGCACTAATAGTGCCTATTACAATCAGTATATGATGCGGAACCGGTTTCAGCCGAGGAGGCAGACGTTGGCAGAAACTCGGGAGACTTGAGCTTGCGCAGCCCCCTTCCGCTCTTCTGAATATTTATAGTTACCATGGGTTTTGAGCAGTAATATTTACCCAGTGCTGATTGCCGCTCAGGTGGAGTGTCATTTGTCCACTGCGTGGCTTGAACACGCACACAGAGAAAAGAAGTGGCCCAACAACATGTGTGAAGAGTTCCCCAGTTCAAATTGAATGGGTCCCTTCATGTGTTTGGGTGTTTGTCTTTTTTTCCTGGTCTTAAGATGAATTAAGACAATGGTCATGCCGGGGATGCCCGGTTGTTGTTTGGCACCTTATGCACGCTTGGTAGTGTAATCCTGCCGGTGCTTGACCCCACGTCCATTTCCATGTCAGATATTCCCTGCCTTGTCGGGGGGTTCAATCCACTACCCGTGCTAGTATCAATTGAGTCCGACCGAGTTTTCTCCACCAGTGGATCCCAAAATCCTGTTTATAGGTCAGGCGCGTTGGAATCGCCTTTCTTATCCAAAACCTAGGGGTTCACCAAGTCATGGTCTTGAGATTCTATGTTGATTTGCAGGAGAGCAACGGACTGGTTCATGATATTTGTTTACTTTTCATGATGTCTCAACTTAGGGGTTTTTTGAAGCTTCCTGCCAGGATACGTATTGCCTCCGCTTCGACGATGCAATCCTCCAGGGCTACAACTGCTCGAGCCCCAAACCATTGGGTAGCCTTTTCGGGGATTCGACGCCGGCCACTCGGTACAAGCTTAAACCTCATGGATCAAGGGTATATGCTGTGCGTTGTATGCAAATGTACAAATATATATATATATATATATATGTATATATATATATATTCTGCATTACAACCATGTAACTACGTGCTGTTCCCTTGCTAGGTGTTTCTTTGCCTTTCAGGCTGCCTGTTCAAGCCGATGTTGCCACCGATGCGTAAATATGCATAAGCACGCTATGTCAATATGTATATATATAGTTACCCACAATTACCTCCCAAATGGGTCAAATGTTGGTACATGTTGCCTACATGGATTGTGTGAACATCCTCAGGGGTTCTCATTTGAAGAGCGTACCAAAGGGGCTACCATAGAGTGCAAAAACAGTATTCCCACTCTCAACAATAGTCATTTAGGCTTTCAAGACCCCACCCTCAGGATATGCCTTTGTGGAACATCCCCTCTGTTCAGCCTCAGTGTGGGATTGCTCCCCGAAACAAAGCTTATTGTCGTGGGAGGGGCTGGGTTTTCAAAGAAACGCCCCTAAAGGCCTCGGGATGGCTGATTCCGTAGGAGGCGCATCCAAATCACACAGCCTTTTTGTGCTTTCCAGAGAGATGTCGACGCCCAGGTGTTGATATTCACATAAAGTTGCTAAGCCAATTGGGGTTTAGCCCAACTGCCAAGACTCTTTTTGGGTCAGCGGAGTGGTCTTCAGGGACGGCACAGCAAATCGGCCCGGTGAAAGAACCAGGGGGTACCTTCCGCGACAAGTGAAAGAATAGCAACGGCTACAAACATGGGTACCAGACTGGTAGATCCCTTTAAGGGAAACAAAAATAATCTTTTTTTGACACATAAGGATCCCTACTGGAAGCCATAGCCATGGCCCATGGCTTGAAACCCCAAAGGCCCAGAAGCCGGAAGCCGTGCATCTCTTGAAGCAAATGCTTGGCCACTGGCAGCCTCAAGTTTCACTTGGCCAGCATCCCGGAAACGGCACCTCCTGTCAAAGGAAACCTGAGACTGCCTTGAAGGTCCCCTTATGTTACCAAACCAACATTTGCAAACAAACCCTGACACGAGTTCGGAAGCTGGCGGTGAAGTTGAGAAATTTAAGCATTCAGAATACTCTTAGCACTAAGTAGGGAAGAGTAACAGCGAGTAGCCAGGGGCGTAACACCGAGTACCTGCGGTGCACTGTAGACGTGGAAGGCATAAGGTATAAAACCCCTTGACCAAGGTATTGAAACAAGGACTTCAAAAATATTCAATCAGGGAGTTCGGCGGAAGTCAAAGAGGGCTTAGAGCCCGGTATGAATGGTTACGTTGCCCTCGCGGTGGCTTCCATGGGCCGTTGGGGCAGAGCGCCAGAGCATAAGCTGGAGATGCTTCACGTCGAGTGCCTTGACACAAAATCAGTTCTTCTGCGTAGAAGGCCCAGACATCAAGCCCACGTGCTGGAAGTCTTCCAAGGCTGCCAGGTGGTGGACGGCTACCTCGCTACATTGTGCCAAAACAACAAGCAACCTTGCGCACAACTGGGGGCTGTTGAGGGCGTTGTTTTAATTCAATGTTTGAATAATTTGATTGATATGTGTCCATGTTGTTGTTGATTTGGCCCTTGTTGTTTTTCTTCTTTTTTAATGTTTCGGACCTTGTGAGATGCGTGCAGAGCGCAAGCCGGACTGTTTGTGTACTGTTGACCACGGATCAATCAACTCAATTGGGGGGAGGGTTCCGAGAAGGTCAAAGCATTCCCTCTTAAATGGTACACCCCCCATCAACCAACGAGGGGTTTTTTAGTTTAGGTCATGGGTCCCCAGTGTTCCTCACACGCCATTCGTTGGGCCAACCTAGTTGAGGGGATCGCCTTACCACTCGCACGGCTCAGTCCCGCAGCCTGTGAAGATGCGCAGCGACTGCTGCTGGGTCGCATGTATTTGTGACAAGTGCCCCAAGGCCCCAGAAAGGGCTCAGTAGAAAAGGCTTTTTTGGAAGATGATCAACCCCCGAGAAATGGTTTCCTTTTTCCACCCTCGGGTATCCGGTTGCAGACGGGCTTATTGGGTAAGGAGTTTGTTTTCTCCGTCGAGTTCGAACTTGGCAACCTGTGGAGCTCAAAGGAGCATCCAGAAGCGGCTTGGGCCCTAAATATCATTGCCCGGGCGTCTTTGAGACGGGGGTGTACTAGGAATGTCATGCATGTCATCTTGCTCATTTGTTCAAGTTGAGAGGATTTTTCCGCCAGCCGTTTCCCTTGGTTTTTGGTTCCTGAAAGGAAGGTTCGCTCAGAAGAGGGAAGTCTCCGTAGAACGCCCAGTCTTGGACTTCTAGCGACTCCCTGCCCAAACCCCAACTGCGCGTCAGCACTTGAGCGCTGCTTGCTTGGGGCCAATTATGTCATGAGACCCCGGAGCAAATATGAAGGGCTCAAACAGAATGAAACGTGCGCCTGTCATCATGGCTTAATTCGGCTTGTAAGCACCCCACAACTCCCGACCTAATTGATGAGGCCTAGTGCTTGCTTGCTGGTATATCTCTTGACCTACATAAGACTTAGAAAGTGGGGGCAACTGGGCCCACAATGCTGTGATAAATTAATATCACGGTATCCCCTACTACCCTCCCTGCAACAAAGACGGCCGTGCACAGTCCGTTTTGGTTGACTACTTTCGTGTTGGAAAAGGACCCTGTGCACTTCGATATTTCTTGGTGTTGGGTAACAAATCATAGCCAAATGCAGCTTTAGAAGCTGACGGCAGCTCCGACAGCCATGGTCGTCCCTTTCCACCCCAACACTTCCCTTTGAGCAAATTTCCTGGGTAGTTGGAGGCAGAACTCCGCCAGAATTGCGGATACCCGCCCTTTTGTTTCTTTACTATCCGTTTAGGTAGACCCCATTTGGTACATTTTTGCCTCTGACCCTGACTGTTCCAAAGTTCATGGTTCTTTGCGATGGCTTCTACCTTTGCCAGGTGTTCTACAATTATTGGTGTCCGCAGTGTTGATGCATATCGTACTTTGCTTTGAGCAATGCTTCTTGAATCATTGAAGTCCTCTTTGTCGGGCTTAAGGAACAACGGGAGTGCAGAGCCATTCACGAAGTTTGGCTATTGTGTTGCGAAATTGTGTCCACTATTTGTTGCACTGAAGTTTGCGCACGCTGGTTGTTTAACTATTCTGTTGCGTTCAGTCAAGTGAAGCTGCTTCTACTAAGATCAAGGAACACCATGTTGCGCTTAATTTCAAGGCTTTTTTTTGCCTAGCCTCACTCGCGGCTTGGATTTGAGTTCCACGTGCTGAGTTATTACGAGCGCCAAGAGGGTCCCTTTCCCCACCTGTCCAAACGGGCGGGGGCGGTTAAGCCCTGGAATTTCATGTATGCTTCCATGCTAGCTGAATGAAATTGGGGGCTTCCTCCCCTGTAGAAAGAGTGTTGCGATCTTTGAGCCCCAAGAGAAAGTCCCAACTGCCACGAAATAGGTTTGACCCCCTTTTGGGGTCCTAAAATTCCCCTTTTCGCGGGGGGGGGGGAGGGGTTCCCGGTAAAGGTGGGCCACTTCCCGTAAATGTTCAAGGCCCCGAATGTATGTGGGGGGCTCCAGTCGAGGATGCGTCCTGTTGAGCGACTTGACATCCATTGTCTTGACTGGGTACAGCAAAACCCATGTGTAGTTTTCAAAGGACGCCACTAGGGGATGAATAGTCTTTTAGTTTCTCCAGAGTCAGCGCCCAAAAGATGATACTCCCCAAATCAGGATGAAACCCATGAAGGGCCCCGATCCGCATCTCCTTTGAATGGAAGGTGTTTTGGGGTTGTTTGTTGGAGGCAGCACTACAGAATCAAATGAAAGTCAACCTCCCAATTGTTGGCCGGCCCATTCTTTCCTCTCGCTTGATTCAAAAGTCGCACGGGTTGTGATCCCTCCAATGCACACCTCAGGACCTTC